TAAAAATATATTCATATGGGGCATCTTAATACTATTCCCATGAAACTATTTTACAAATACTCTCTGACATTTTTCTTTTGAGTCAGAGTTTCACCATGTTGGCCAGGCTGGTCTTGAACTCCTGACCTCAAGTGATTTGCCTGCCTCAGCCTCCCAAAGTGCTGGGATTACAGGCATGAGTCACCGAGCCCAGCCAGTGGACCCAAGTCTTAACAGGGGCAGGTGCTGGCTGGATTTGGGAGTTAAAGAGTCTCTTGGGGCCAGGTGTGGTGGTACACACCTGTAATCCCAGTGCTATGGGAAGCTGAGGATGGAGGATCACTTGAGCCCAGGAGTTCGAGGCTGTAGTGGTGCTATGATCAAGCCACTGCACTCCAGCCAGGCAGCAGAGCGAGACCTTGTCTCAAAAAAATAAGAAAAAAAAAAGAGGCCAGGCAGGGTGGCTCACGCCTGTAATCCCAGCAGTTAGGGAGGCTGAGGCAAGCGGATCACTTGAGCCCAGGAGTTTGAGACCAGCCTGGCCAACATGGTGAGAGCCTGTCTCTACTAAAAACTCCGAAAATTAGTGGGGCTTGGTGGCAAGTGCCTGTAATCCCAGCTGCTTGGAGGCTGAGGCAGGAGAATTGCTTGAACCCGGGAGGTGGATGTGGCAGTGAGCCGAGATCTCGATCACTGATCTAGATCAAGATTGCCAGTGCACTCCAGCCTGGCAATCACTGAGGCTGTGTCTCAAAAAAAAAAAAAAAAAAATCAATCAAACAAGCAAACAAAAAAACTAGCTAATATCATTAGTCATTAGGAAAAAGGAAAAGAAAACCACAATGGGATAGCACTTCACACCCACTCTGATGGCTATCGTAATCAAAACGGATGTTGCAAGGGTGTGGAGATTTGGAGCCCTTGTACAATGCTGGTGGGTATGAAAATGGTACTGCTGCTGTGGAAACTGTTGGGCAGTTCCTCAAAAAGCTCAACACAGCCGGGCGCCGTGGTTCATGCTTGTAATCCCAGCACTTTGGGAGGCCGAGGTGGGTGGATCACCTGACATCAGGAGTTCAAGACCAGCCTGGCCAACATTGTAAAGCTCTCTACCAAAAATACAAACATTACCCGGGCTTGGTGGCGGGCACCTGTAATCCCAGCTACTCGGGAGGCTGAGGCAGGAGAATCACTTGAACCTGGGAGGTGGAGGTTTCGGTGAGTTGAAATCATGCCATTGCACTCCAGCCGGGGGGACAAGAGCGAGACTTTGTCTCAAAAAAAAAAAAAGTTAAATATAAAGTTACCATATGACCCAGCAATCCTACTTCTAGCTATAGCCCCAAAGGAAATGAATATACAGGGACTCCAACCACATATTCACAAATGTTTATAGCTGTTCTTATTCACGATCCCCAAAAGGCAGAAACAGCCCAAGTGACCATCAGCTGATGCGTGGATAAACAAAATGTGATCCATCTATACAGTGCAATGTCATTCAGCTGCAAGTGGAATGAAATTCTGACACATGCTGCAACTTAGATGAACCTTAACAAACATGCTCAGTGGTGGCTCATGCCTGTAATCCCGGACCTTTGAGAGGCCAAGGCAGGAGGATCCCTTGAGTCCAGGAGGTCGAAACCAGCCTGGTGAACATAGAGAGACCCCACCTCTGCAAAAGAAAAATTTAAAAACAGGCCAGATATGGTGGCGTGCACCTGTAGTCCCTAGCAATGTGGAGGCTGAGGCAGGAGGATGTCTCATGCCCAGGATTTCAGGCCGAAATGAGCTATGAACGCACCACTGCACTCCAGTCTGGTGACAGAGCCAGACCCTGTCTCAAAAACAAAAAGCAAAAACCGAAACAACCCATCATGCTTGGTGGAAGAGGCCAACACAAATGGTCACATATTGTGTGATTCCATTTATACAACATAACAAGAAGGGCGTGCATAGTGGCTTGTGCCTATAATCCCAGCATTTTGGGAGGGTGAGGTGGGTGAATCCCATGAGGTCAAGAGTTCGAGATCAGACTGGCCAACATGGTGAAATCCTGTCTTTACTAAAAATGCAAAAATTAGGCTGGGTACGGTAGCTCACGCCTGTAATCTCAGTACTTTGGGAGGGTGAGGCAGGTGGATTACCTGAGGTTGGGAGTTCAAGACCAACCCAACCAACATGGAGAAACCCCGTCTCTACTAAAAATACAAAATTAGTCAGGGGTGTGGTGGCGCATGCCTGTAATCCCAGGTACTCAGGAAGCTGAGGCAGAAGAATCGCTTGAACCTGGGAGGTGGAGGTTGCAGTGAACGGAGATCGCACCATTGAAGTCCAGCCAGGGCAACAAGAGCGAAACTCTGTCTCAAAAAAAAAAAAAAAAAAAAATTAGCCCAGTGTGGTGGCACGCACCTGTACTCTTAGCCATTCAGGACGCTGAGTAGGAGAATTGCTTGAACCTGGGAGGCGGAGGTTGTAGTGAGCTAAGATGGAGCCACTGCATTCCAGCCTGGGCGACAGAGTGAGACTCTGTCTAAAAAAAAAGATATCAAGAAGAGGTAAAAATATAGAGAGACAGCAGAGAATGCAGATTAGTGGTTGCCAGGGACTGGGAGGAGGGAGGACTTGAGGAATTGCTTTATGGCAGGCTGTAGGGGAGGAAAAATATGTTTTCCTCTATTCCTAGATCTTACCTGTGATGGACTCTTGCAATGAAAGAATTAACAAGAGCAGGTGTGGTGGCTCATGCCTGTAATCCCAGCACTTTGGAAGGTTGAGGCAGGAGGATCGCGTAAGGCCAGCCTGGACAACACGGAGACTCCATTTCTACAAAAAATAAAAAATAAAATTAGCCAATTGTGGTGGTGGGTACCTGTGGTCCCAGCTACTCAGGAGGCTGAGGTGGGAGGATTGCTTGATCCCAGGAGTTCGAGGCTGCAGTAAGTTATGATCATGCTGCTGTACCCTTTTTTGTGGTAGTTGGTCAAGCTACCGTGCGGCAGAATGTAGCAAGCTCTGAGGATCATCCTAGGTCTTCAGGCCCAAAGAGCACACATGTGTTGGCCTCATCTCTGCAAATTTGGTTCCTCCCAGAGTGAGACCCTGTCTCAAAAAAAAAAAAAAATTAACAAGGGGAAAACAAATTTATTAACATGTGTATGCCTTATGTATACATGGAGATGCCAGGAGAAATGAGGTGGTTTATAAAGCTTATATAACTCCTGCTTATATAGCACCTTCAACATAGAACAGCACATTTTTGGAGAAGTGACAAGACAGAGGAAAAGGACATTGAGGCTGGGTATGGTGGCTCACGCCTGTAATCCCAGCACTTTGGGAGGCCACGGCGGGCAGATCATTCGAGGTCAGGAATTCGAGACCAGCCTGGCCAACATGGTGAAATCCCATCTCTACCAAAATATAAAAATTAGCTGGGCACAGCGGTGCACACCTGTGATCCGAGATACTTGGGAGACAGAGGCACAAGAATCACTTGAACCAGGGAAGCAGAGGATGCAGTGGGCAGAGATGACACCACTGCACTCTAGCTTTGGGAACAGAGCAAGACTCTGTCTCAAAAAAAAAAAAAAAAAGACGTTTCCAGACAAGGGTCTAAAGGTGTCGCTGGTGATCAACCTTTGTCCTTCCTGATAGGAGAGGAGGGCAACTTTGTACATTTAGTTCCTGCTTTGAGGCAAATGAGGAAGAGCAGAGAGCTCTTCCTGTATCAGCTCCATTGATCTCAGCTCAAAATAATCCTATACCAAGGTCGCATATTTCGGAAAGGCATATGTGGTCTCCTATGGGGGTCTCTTTTCCGGGTGATAACAATAGTTCGAAACTAGCAAGGGGTGTTGGTTGTACAACATGTGCATGTACTAAATGCCATTGAATTGCGCATTTTTATTTTTTATTTTATTTTTTGAGATGGGAGTCTGGCTCTGCCGTCCAGGCTGGAGTGCAAGGGCACGATCTCCATTCACTGCAACCTCCGCCTCCCGTTCAAGTGATTCTCCTGCCTCAGCCTCCCGAATAGCTGGGATTACAGGCGCCCGCCATCATGCCTGGCAAATTTTTAAAATTATTTTTGTAGAGACGGGGTTTCGCCATGTTGGCCAGGTTCCTCTGGAACTCCTGACCTCAGATGATCCACCCACCTCGGCCTCCCAAAGTGCTGGGATTACAGGCGTGAGCCATGGCGCCCGGCCAAGAATTTTGCATTTTTAAATGGTTAATTTCATCTTGTTCGAATTTCACTCCAATAATAGACAAAAACGGATGACAAGTGGTATTTGACTTTTTTTTTTGGATGAGATGATACATGCACATTGCACAAAATTTAACAGCTACAAAATGGCATAAAGGTGAAAATGTAATATTTTCCCCATTACCCCGGTTACCCTTTCTGGAGCAAGTCTAGTTACGATTCTTTTCTATTCTAGAACCATTTATGCATTTCCTTAACGTCGAAAGATGCCTTGTGATACCACAGCAGTCATTCATGCTCTCTACAGGCCAGCAGACAGTGCAGAAAAGGTGAAGTACAAAAATTAAACAGGAAAATCTCTCCTTGCACCATTGCCAGCAGGTTAGTGGTTTTGCTTGGAATATTTTTTGAGTGTGTGGGTAGTTGGTTAAACTTAGAAGTATCTTTTTTTGTGCGTGGGTAGTTGGCCAAGCCGCCGTGGGGCAGAATGCAGCAAGCTCCGAGGATCATGCAGGGTCTGCAGGCCTGGAGAGCACACCTGTGTCGGCCCCACCTCTGCAAACTCTGTCCCTCTCCTGCAGCGGACAATAGGCCACTCCGTGGGACAAAGGCCCGCAGCCGCGCCTGCGCAGAGCGCTCAAGGGCTTCCGGGGCGCTCCCAGGACCCCGGCCTGGCCCCGCCCCCTGGCGCGGCGCGGTGTCGTCACGAAGTTGCCATGGCGTCGCTGAGCGGCCTGGCGTCGGCGCTGGAGTCGTACAGGGGCCGAGACCGCCTGGTGAGGCAGGGGCTGACTGGGGCCGAAGGTCCTAGAGCTTGGTTCAAGCTCAGAGACGGGGTAACTGAGGCCAGAGAAGGGACGGGGTCGCCCAGAATACCCCGTCGCAGTGGCCCCCTCCGTGCTAGGCTCAAACGCTGTGCCCTAGCGTTGGACATTGATTGATTGATTGATTGATTGATTGAGACAGAGTCTCGCCCTGTAGCGCATGCTGGAGTGCAATGGCGCGATGTCAGCTCACTGCAACCTCCGCCTTCCGGGTTCCAGCGATTCTTCTGCCCCAGCCTCCCTAGGACTGCAGGCGGGTGGCACCATGCCCGACTAATTTTTAAAAATAATTTTTTGTATTTTTAGTAGAGACGGGGTTTCACCATGTTAGCCAGGATGGTCTCCATCTCCTGACCTCGTGATCTGCCCGCCTTGGCCTCCCAAAGTGCTGGGATTACTGGCATGAACCACCGTGCTCCACTAGCGTTGGACACTTAGATCGTTTCTGCCAACCCAACCTGGCTAGACATTGACACACTGGCCAGATTCCCGTGTTTGGACGTTTTGGATCTGACAAGGCCACTGAAGTCAGTCCCTGCGTCATCCTGAACAATCTCATGTTGGGATCTGGGATGTTGCAGGGCCCCCCAGTGGCTGGACATTCATTTCCAACCAGATCCCCTATAGTTGGGCATTTAGGTTGTTTCAGCCAACCTAGACCAAAGAACCCACCATTGCCATGCCCTGCCATGCCTGAGCAGTGATGGGTTCCAACAAAATCCCTTGTAGTTGGTCATGGCAGATCGTTTCTGCCAACTCAGCCTGGCTGGATACTTACATACCAGCCAGATTCCGATTCCCATGTTTGGACATTTAGGATCTGACCAGGCCACTGTAGTTGGTCCCTGGGTTGTCCCAAACAATCTCATGTGGGGATTTAGGATATTGTCAGGCTTTTCCTATGGCTGGACAGTTTTTTTTTTTTGAGATGAACTCTCGCTCTTGTCCCCCAGGCTGGAGTGCAATAATGGTGTGATCTTGGCTCATTGCAACCGCCGCCTCCCGGGCTCAAGTGATTCTCCTGCCTTAGACTCCCGAGTGGCTTGGATTACAGGTGCCTCACACCATGCCTGGCTAATTTTTATATTTGTAGTAGAGATGGGGTTTTATCATGTGGGCCAGGCTGGTCTTGAACTCCTGACCTCGGGTGGTCCACCTGCCTCGGCATCCCAAAGTGCTGGGATTACAGGCATGAGCTGCCACGCCTGGCTGGCTGAACAGTTTTAAGTTCCAATCAAGTCTCATATGATTGGGCATTTAGGTTATACCATCCATGCCTCTGAGTTTGGACTCTTAGCTTGTCCCCACCAGTCTCTTATAGATAGACATTTAGGTTGTACCAGGGAGTGTACTGGGGGCTAGGCATTTAGATTCCATTCAAATCTCCTATGACTGGGGGGGGTTTAACAAATCCCCTCCGAGTTGGACATTCAAATTGCAGCGTTTTGCCATTATAACAGGGCTGGAAAGGAATTACAAGTAAAAATAATAAGTAAAAATAATAAAGGAACAAGCAATTTCTGAAAAGCAAGTAAACTAAAGATATAAGGGAGGCCGGGTGTGGTGGCTCACGCATATGATCCTAGCACTTTGGGAGGCTAAGGTGGGTGGATTGCCTGAGCTCAGGTGTTTGAGACCAGCCTGGGTAATGTGGTGAAACCCCGTCTCTACTAAAATACAAAAAATCAGTTGGGCATGGTGGCGCGAGCCTGTAGTCCCAGCTACTCAGGAGGCTGAGGCATGAGAATTGCTTGAACCTGGGAGGCAAAGCAGTGAGCTGAGATCATGCCCTTGCACTCCAGCCTGGACAAGACTCTGTCTCCAAACATAATATGTATGTATGTATATATATATATAGTGTGGAGATGACCTAGTTCACATGGCTCCAAATCACCTACTGAGTGGGTTCTTTCTCTCTAAAGTAATTCAAGCAAATTATCCTGTTGTTCATTGGATTGAGGGTTCATTGGGTTGAGGGCTGATCACCTGTGCCCAGTGGCCAGCACAGCCAAAGGCTTTGGTCCAGGCAGGTAGATGTAAATATACACTTTAGCTGCAGCTTCCTGCCACCTGGGAAAAGAAGGACCTGGGAGGTGGGAAGTAAGAAGTTTTGTTTTCTTTGTTCCTGTCACATCTGTCCCCAAAGTCTGAGCCCTTCAATTACATGAGCAGGCACTCTGTTCCCCACAGTGTCTTCGGACAGTGATGTCATGTTTCTTCATTTGTCCCACCTACAAGGATGTTTTTAAACTTTCAGCTTTTTTTTTTTTTTTTTGAGACAGGGACTCACTCTGTTGCTCAGGCTGGAGCACAGTAGTGAGATTATAGCTTGCTACAGTCTGGAGCTCCTGGGTTCAAGTGATCCTCCAGCATCAGCCTCCCAAATAGCCATGATGCCCTGTTAATTTTTAAAAAAGTTTGGTGAGCTGGGCGCGGTGGCTTACGCCTGTAATCCCAGCACTTTGGGAGGCCAAGGCGGGTGGATCTCTTGAGGTCATGAGTTCTAGACCAGCCTGGCCAACATGGCAAAACCCTGTGTCTACTAAAAATACAAAAATTAGCCTGGCGTGTGGCACCCTCCTGTAATCCCAGCCACTTGAGAGGCTGAGGCACAAGAATCGCTTGAACACAGGAGGTGGAGGGGCTGCAGGGAGCTCAGATCATGCCACTGCACTCCAGCCTGGGTGATAGATCGAGACTGTCTCAAAAAAAAACAACAACAACAAAAGAATCTTCCACACTCTTAATCCATGGGGTCCCAGGGCCAGGTGGGGGGTGATGCAGCTCAGGTCTGCTGAGCAGGAGGGGCATGCTGACTGCTTCTGGTTTCCCACAGATCCGAGTACTGGGGTACTGCTGCCAGCTGGTTGGTGGAGTCCTGGTGGAACAATGTCCCGCCAGGTCCGAAGTGGGGACACGTCTCTTGGTGGTGTCCACCCAGCTCAGCCACTGCAGGACCATCTTGCGACTGTTTGATGACCTGGCCATGTTTGTCTACACTAAGCAGTACGGCCTGGGGGCACAGGTAACAGGGTTTGTGGGGCTGTAGGGAGTGGGGTGCAGACCTCAGTGGACATTTAAAAAAATTTTTTTAGAGACAGGGTCTTGCTTTCTTGTCCAGGCTGGAGTGCAGTGGAGTGATCATAGTTCGCTGCAGCCTCGAACTCCTGGGCTCAAGTGGTCCTCCTGCCTTAGCCTCCCTGAGTGCTGGGATTACAGGCATGAGCCACTGTGAACGTTTTAGAGTCTTGTCCCAAAACGCTCCCTGCGTGGGTAGTTCATTACTTTTTGTAATTTCACTTTCTTCTTTGAGAGGATCAGATGTCCTCGTTTTGATTTAAAATTTTTAAAAATAGCAAACATGTTCACACGTTCCAAAGGGGGATATAATTTTAAAAAACCTCCCTCCTTCCTGATCTTCCAGGCCTCCAGTTTTTCCCCATAGAGGCAGCCACTGTGGTCAGCTTCTTTTTTTGGAGACAATGTGTCACTCTGTGACTTAGGCTGGAGTGCAATGGCATGATCTCAGCTGACTGCAACCGCCACCTCTGGGGTACAAGTGATTCTCTTGCTTCAGCCCCTCATGTAGCTGGGAATACAGGCAGCCCCCACCACGCCAGGCTAATTTTTGTATTTTTAGTAGAGACAAGGTTTAGCCATGTTGGCCAGGCTGGTCTCGAACTCCTGACCTCAAGTGATCCACCTGCCTCGGCCCCCAAAGTGCTGGGATTACAGGTGTGAGCCACTGAACCAGGCGATCATTTCTTACCAGTCTAAAAAAGAGCTCCTTTCTCAGGACCACACAGTGCTCTGCTTGGCAGATCCTGATTTATTTAACCTGTCTCCGGTTGACACACAGGGGCATGATTTCTAAGGTTCTGCTATTGCAACAGTGCTGCAGAGAGTAGCCTTGTCCCTGCGGCGTCCCCCAAGCATGTCAGCCTAGCTAGAGGGCCATCTTTCCCCCCAAGGGATGATCTCAGAGGCTGCATGGGCCAGCCTCTCAGCATCATGCCACTCCCTGGGCTACTCTGTCTGTTCTCTCAGTCCTCCCAGGGATCACTCCTCTGAGGCAGTTGCTATTCAGATGCTCCCCACCCCGAACCCCCAGCCCTACCCCATTCAGCGCCACATCCTTGGCCTGATCATCCCACATCACGAGGGTTGCTCTTGGCCGCCTTCCTGTTTTGCCACCTATGGCATCCTCCTCCTCCATGTCTGGTGACTCCCGGAGACTCCTCCCTCCTCTATCCCCTTGGTGGAAGAGCCCTCAAGCAAGGGGTGGGGGCCCCTACACCTTGAGTATCCCTTGGCCAGAACAAAAGCCCCTTTTGTTGGGTTCTGGGTTTATATGTCTGTGTCCCTCCCTGCCCTGTTGAGCCTCTGCCCCTCACCAGAGTCTAGCCTGGATCCTCTGCTTCTCAGGAAACCTGGGTGGAATGAGCACACTGGGGCCGAGTCTGCTATCCTCAGCGAGGTGGGAAATGTGCCATGCAGATGAGGGAAGCTGGAGTGAGGTTCGGAGCCCGGAGGCAGGCAGGATCATGACTGGCCAGAAAGAAGAGGAATCAGAAGGAAGCAGCATCAGGATCAGTGGTGGGGTGGGGAGGAGCTTCCTGGGAAGTCTAGAGGAGGGGAAGGGTGTGGCAGGCAACAAGGACAGTAAGGGTAGAGGGGGCGGGGTTCTGAGGGGCAGGGTCCCCAGTCGGCAGCGGAGCTCCAGTCCCAGAAACCAGGCCTCAGCGCTGTGCACCTACAGCCTCTACTGGTCCTGCCTCCCTGGCTCTAGGCGGTCGTTAAGAATTTGGGGCAGAGGGTATGGGTACCGTCCAGGACCGAGAGCCTGCATGTGCATTGCAATTCGAGGGTCTGGAGGACCATCCCTGCCAGAACTGGGGCCGGTGACTTTCCCTGAGAGCCTACGTGTGGCCATCTGTATCATAGGACGGTAACTCGCTTGGGGTTGAGGGAGGCGATGCGAGCCTTTCAGCTCTGTGCCTGTCTTGTGGTCAGCACTGGGCGTGCGCTGGCCCACTCTGCCATCTCAGCCTGCTCAGGGTTCCCTGTGAGCCACCTCTCGTGTTCCCTGCCTAGTCTGGCATCAGAGGTCCTCGCCCATGCAGGAACTGAAAGCCTTTGGGGAGGAAGGCTCTGATGCAGGGTTCCCAACTTGGCCGAACATGGGAATCGCCTGGGAACGTGAGAATTCCCGGTGCTGGGGCCTGCCCCAGGCTGAGTGACACAGAATCCTCATGGCTGGCATCAGGCATGGGGTTTTGGAAGCTCCGCAGAGGACTGCACTGCACAGCTGAGTTGAGACCCTTCCCTCCAAGGGGCACTGAACACCGTGCTGCCGAGATGCAGGAATCAGGCCTGTGTGGGGACCCCAGCCCCAGAGCCTTTCTCCTGCGGGCGGGCCACAGACAGCCTGCTGGCCCGGGATGCTGCCCAGGGCCCGGAGTCAGGAAACAGCTCAGTGCTACCTGGCATGGCTACAGTGTTAAAATGGGCAGTGGGTAAGTCTGACTCCAGGACCCCTCTGCTCCTGGTCCTACAGGAGGAGGATGCCTTTGTCCGCTTGGTGTCCGTCCTAGGGAACCTGGCTGACCAGCTCTACTACCCCTGTGAGCACGTCGCCTGGGCGGCTGATACCCGGGTCCTCCACATGGACTCTTCCCGGTGGTGGACGCTGAGCACAGCCTTATGGGCCCTCTCTCTGCTTCTGGGGGTTGCCAGGTAAGTGGCATGGGCCAGAAGGGAGCACCCATGGTCCCCGAGTGGGCCTCCTTACCAGAGTGGCAGCTGCCCCAGCAACAGCGCTGGCTTCAGACTGAGGGATCCTTGCCTCTTAGAGTTTTCCTTGGAGTTTTTGTTGTTTCTTCCTTTTGTTGGTGTATTTTTTTGGAATAACTGCCGGAACGATTTACCATCACTGTAGTGCTGAGCAAGAGAAACTTACTATCTTAGGATTCTGAAGGTAGCAGTCGGAACCCTCCTGGGCTAGTGTCAGCAGAGGCTGGTGCCTTCTGGAGGCCCCAGGGGAGGTCTTGGATTTTCCAGCTTCTAGAGGCCACCTGCATTCCTTGATTCATGGCACCTTCCTTCCTCTTCCAAGCATGACCTCTGGGCCATGCCTCTCAGGGTCACACCTCCTTCCCTGATTCTCATTCTCCTTCCTCCCTCCTATAAGGACCTTGTGATGACATCCTGACCACCTGGATGATCCAGGGTAATACTTCTTAAGATCCTTAGCGCATAGGTCTGGTGTGGTGGCTCACGCCTGTAATCCCAGCACTTTGGGAGGCCAAGGCCGGCAGATCACTTGAGCCCAAGAGTTTGAGAACAGCTTAGCCAACATGGCGAAACCCTGTCGCTACTAAAAATACAAAAAGTAGCCAGGCTTGGTGGCACAAACTGACTGAGGCAGGAGGATTGCTTGAATCTGGGGAGGTGAAGGTTGCAGTGAGCCAAGATCACGCCACTGCACTCCAGCCTGGGCAACATGCAGAGTCCCCATATACCCCATCCCCACACGCACGGCCTCCCCCACTTCTGGCATCATCCCCATGGTGCACTGGTTATAACTGATGACTCTCCATGGACCCATCGTCACCTCAGTGCATAGCTCCATTACGGTTCACGCTTGGTTCTGGGCATCCTACGGGTTTGGGCATTGACACGTGTCCACACTTGCAGTATCAAATGGAATTCCATGCCCGTCAAAGCTGTGCTCTGCCTGCTACAGCATTCTTGTTTAGGGCACGTGGTTTCCCATCATTTCTCTAGTTTGGGGTGAGCACGGGGAATGAGTGGGAGCATTCCCTGTGCCCTTATCACGACCAGACATCTGTCCTAAGGCCCAGGGCTGCCAGAGCATCAGCTGGGAGGTTGCTAAATGGAGATGTAAGGTTCTGGTGCCCAGGGCTTCAGATTCTCTTTCTTGAGACAGTCTTCCTCTGTCACCCAGGCTGGAATGCAGTGGTGCAATCTCAGCTGACTGTAACCTCTGCCTTCCGGGTTCAAGCGATTCTCCTGCCTCAGCCTCCTGAATAGCTGGGATTAAAGGCATCTGCTGCCATGCCCAGCTAAGTTTTGTATTTTTAGTAGAGATGGGGTTTCACCATGTTGGCTAGGTTGGTCTTGAACTCTTGACCTCAGGTGATCTGCCTGCCCTGGCCTTCCAAAGTGCCAGGATTACAGATGTGAGCCACTGCGCCCAGTCAAGCTTCTGATTCTCTGGGTCTGGGGAGGCCAGGAATCAGTGTTTTGCCCCTGTCCCCCAGGAGGTACCCATCTGCTGTACCACTGGCACTATCCTGTGTCTTGCACCCTGGGTACAGGGTGGCCGGAGATGTGACCAGGCTCTGGCCATTCTGGTCAGGAGGTCACAGTCACAACCCAGCACACCCCATGGCAGAGGCTGGAGAGTGCAGGTGCCTGGTAGAGTGGGCCGGGTAGGTGCAATGCATGGCCGCAGAGTCCCCTGGGAGCACAGAGGCTGCCCACCAGGTAGCCCCTTCCTCAGCCTGCAGATGGCAGCCTTGGGGCGCAAGGGGTCATCCACATAGGTCTAGCCAGTGTCCAGGGTATGTGTGCAGGGGTGCTGGCATGGCACTGATCTGGGCCTTTCCACACAGAGCAGACCAGGCAGCCAAGGCCCAGAGGGGAAACAACGTCCCCAGTCCTGTCCAACTGCAGGCCCCTTGGCATCCTCTTCTGTCTAGGACTCCGTGCCGGGCTGTGAACACCTCATAGGGCTTGATGTTCCTTTGAGCACTTGCCAGTGGTTTGCAGAGGCTGGGCCGGGCCCTGGATGGCCGTGTCAGAAGCGCAGGATGTTCCTGAATGTGATGCAGATGTCCCCGGCAGGACAGGGCTATGTTAGGGATGAGTCCCAGGGAACCTGAGGCACAGCCCGGAGGGCACGGGACTGAGGGGGCAGGGAGAGGGCAGGCCACTTATCCGAGATGTGGCCCTTGTCCCAGACTGTAAGGGGATGCCCCTGTCCCAGACTGTATGTCCGGGGCCAGCATTGTGGAGCTAACCCTCCTGCTCCCCGGGGGCATCCTCCCTCCGGCTCTGGTGCTGCAGGTCCCTGTGGGTGCTGCTGAAGCTGAGACAGAGGCTGCGGAGCCCCACAGCGCCCTTCACCAGGTAGGAGCCTGCGGTCACCCAGCAGGAAGGCCCACTCCCTCATCAGGTGTGGGATCCTGGCTCAGAGCTACCCCTGTGCAGGCCTGTACTGAGGTCTGTTGTTCACAGGTCATGGGGGTCTCACCTCAGCCTCCAGTGGGTGGTGGTACCTTTTACAGATGGGGAAACTGAGGCTTGCTTGAGCGAGAACTCCAGGGCTGAGCCTTCATGACTGCGCCACCAGCTGGAGAGAATGGTCAATTTCCTGAGGGTTATGGCCATTGTCACCGTTGCTTTTTCTTTTTCGAGACAGGGTCTTGCTCTGTTGCCCAGGCTGGAGCACAGTGGTGCGATCTCAGCTCACTGCAACCTCCGCCTTCCGGTCTCAACTGATCCTCCTGCCTCAGCTTCCTGAGTAGCTGGGATTACAAGCATGTGCCATCATGCCCAGCTGATTTTGTATTTATTGCTCCTGGGGTTCCCCTGTCCCTCCACACCTCCCAAAGTGCATTTGTGCTTTTTGTTTTTACAAGGGACCCCCATCTCCGGGTGTTCAGGAAGAGGACTGAGGTGTGGATTTAAGGACTGGGACCCAGGTCCCTGCCCTGTTGATGCTTGGTTTGGGAGGTGGTGATGGGGACTCAGTCAGTCCCTGTGGAGGGTCGGGGAGGCCACCTCGGCCCTGCCAGCTCCTCCCACTGGCAGGCAGGGGCTGTGGCCACTCACTTCCCTGCCAGAGGCTCAGGGCTGCCCGGGCCACACAGGGCATATGGGGGCTTGGGAAGGGGAGGCGGGCAGGTGTGAGCATGAGTGTGAGCTGCTCCTCTCTGCCCACAGCCCACTGGCCCGGGGCAAGCGGAGGGCCGTGGAGGCGCAGATGCAGTCGGAGATGCTGTCGCTTCTCAGCAACCTGGCTGACCTGGCCAACGCCGTGCACTGGCTGCCCCGGGGTGTGCTGTGGGCTGGCCGCTTCCCGCTGTGGCTGGTGGGCCTCATGGGCACCATCTCCTCACTCCTCAGCATATACCAGGCGGTCCGGGCTGGTGGCCAGGCCGAGGCTGCCACCCCCTGACACTGCCTGAGGAGCACAGGGACACACTAGAGCCCACAGAGGGCCCCTCTCTGCAAAGCAGAAGACGCCAGGGCAGGGGCTGGGGCTCTACGGCTGCCTGTGTCTAAACTCATGGGCAGGGTGGGACGAAGGACTGATTCAAGGTCCCCCCCAGGCCCCAGCCCAGGGCTACCGAGCTGGACAGTTTTCAGCCATGGAAGGCTTCAGCAGCACCTCCCACCCACCACCTGGAGTCTTATATCCAAATAAAGGTGAACCGGAGGAAGCCCGTCGTGCCTTGGGAAGCTGGAATGGAAATCAGTTAAATGTTGTGGTGCTGCTGCCTGGCCAAGGGGTGAAGGATATTACACTGGTGGCTCCTGGCCCCTTACCCTCCACAGGACGGAGCCACAGTTGGAAACCACGCTTCCCCAGCCTGACTTCAGGAACGCTCTTGGCCTGGTGGGTCCCCTCCATCTCTGAGCAAGTGTTGCCCACAGACCCCAAGTGGCCTTGAGCCATAGAGGGCTGTTCTCTACTCCCCACAGTCTGGGCACACGGGCCAGAGGTGCCACCTCCTGTCAGGCCACCTTAGGGTGTGGCCTCACACCACTGTGCTGCAGACCTGGAGCATTTTCAGGGCTCCAGGCTGAGACTGAGCAACACACACTGGCATTGCTGAAGACACTTGGGATTCCCACCTCAGCCAGCGTGTGGTGGGATGGGACGAGGGCACCTCTTAGTCTCTGGCAGGCGCTGGGGCACAGCATGGCCCAGGAACACAACAGGCAGTGTGTGTGTCCTTCGGCCTCATGTGGTATCAATTGCACTGCTTTTTAATCTTTTTGACACCAGATCTCACCCAGGCTGGAGTGCAGTGGTACAATCACAGCTTCACTGCAGCCTCGAACTGCTGGGCTCAAGGGATCCTCCTACCTTAGCCTCCCACAAAGCAGGAACTGCAGGCATTTATCATCATGCCCAGATAATTAACATTTTTTTTTTGTAGAGACAGGGTCTCGCCATATTGCCCAGGCTGGTCTTGAATTCCTGGCCTCAGGTGATGTGCCTGCCTCGGCCTCCCGGAGTACATCTGTGCTTTGTTTTTACAGGGAAGACACTGGGTAGCTATGAGCAGCTGGCAAGCTGGGGACTGCTCAGGGTCACAGGTGCAGGAGACCTCATCTGTGGGGGCTCCTGTCCAGGACTCATGAGTGGGCCAGGCTTGGTGGGTTTCCCCCTTCTCTCCCTTGTGGGGGTGCAGGCCCGTCCCGGCCTTCAGCCAGGGCCTCCTTCTCAGCTCCTAGTGGCACCCGCATGATTAGGGCATCACATTACCTACTGGAGACTCAATTACCTCCAGCTCATACCTGTGGGGCCCTTGGAGTGGCGCCTCCGTATGGGGAAGCCACGTGACCACCTGATGACAGGTGCCAGGAGGAAAAGCAAGCCACCTTCAGGGATGGAGCCTGGACTGGGAAGGCCTTGGATACTGACCGTGGAGTCCAGGCATGGAGCAGACAGGATGGATGTTTCCAGAAAGGGAGGCCACTCTCCCACTCTCTGAGCTGGTCCAGTGGCTCTTTGCGTGTGTGTGTATGTTTTAAACAGTTTTACTGAAATATAATTCACGTATCATACAATTTATCCATGGAAGGGGGACAGTTCGGTGGCTTTTAAAATACTCACAGTCATACAAGCAGTGCCACAGTCAACCTGAGAACATTTCCATCAGCCCAAAGAGAAACCATCTCACCCCTCAGGTGTTACCTCCCCCCAGCCCCCAGGCTTGGTGACCACTGCCCTGTCTCTACATAGTTGCTCATTCTGGTTCAGTGGTTCTCAACCTTTCAGGGGCTGGGAACAGACCCCTCTGAGACCCTTAAGGACTACAGGTCCTCTTTTTTGAGAGGGAATTTTGCTGTTGCCCAGGCTGGAGTGTAATGGTGCAATCTCAGCTCATTGCAACCTCTGCCTCCCGGGTTCAAGTTATTCGCCTGCGTCAGCCTCCTGAATGGCTGGGATTACAGGCACCTGCCACCACACCCGGCTAATTTTGTATTTTTACTGGAGACAGGGTTTCACCATGTTGGCCAGGCTGGTCTCGAACCCCTGGGCTCAAGTCACCTGTCTTGGCCTCCCAAAGTGCTGGGATTACAGGTGTAAGCCAGTGCCCAGTTACTACAAGCCCTCTTTGCAAAAGATCTCATTTTAGAGTGCCCCAAGTCCCCAGGGCCCATAAGGTATACTGAGGAAGGCTGGGGGCATCCCAGGGGAGGGGTCAGCTAGGCAGAGGTCAGGGGATGGCTGGTGTCAGGGTGGAGGGTGCTCTGTGGGTCAAGTGGACAGTGGAATGTGTGCGGGCCAGCGTATGCTCACCTGTGATGAGGGTCCCAACACCACTATGCGCTTCAGCAAATCAGAGAGTTGGAAGAATGAGGGAGAGAGAAAACCCCAATGTCCACCATCAGGAGAATAGCTACTGGCCAGTTTTGCATTGTGTGAATTTGACCACAATGGAAAAAAAAATGGGTTGGGCGTGGTGGTTCATACCTTTAATCCCAGCACTCTGGGAGGCTGAGACAGGAGGATTACCTGAGGTCAGGAGTTCAAGAACCAGCCTGGCCAGCATGGTGAAATCCTGTCTCTACAAAAATACAAAAATTAGCTGGGCATGATGGCGGGGGCCTGTGATTCCAGCTATACTCAGGAGGCTGAGGCAGGAGAATTGCTTGAACTTGGGAGGCCGGGGTTGCAGTGAGCCAAGATGACACCACTGCACTCCAGCCTGGGCAGCAGAGCAAGACTCCATCTCAAAATAATAATAATAATAAAAAAATAGTAAATTATTTTCATCTTTTTCTTTTCTTTCTTTTTAAAAATTCATTTCTTTTTTTAATCCCCCAAATTTCCCTTTTTTTTTTTTACCCCTTAGAGACAGAGTCTCACCATGTTGCCCAGGCTGCAGTGCAGTGACACGATCATAGCTGCCTACAACCTCAAACCCCTGGGCTCAAGCAATCTTCCTGCCTCGGCCTCTTGTGTAGCTGGGACTACAGGTGCACACCACCATACCTGGCTAACTTTTTTTTTTTTTGTGGGGAAGGGGTTTCACTATGTTGCACAGGCTGGTCTTGAACTCCTGGGCTCAAGCCATCCTCCTGCCTCAGCCTCCCTAAAGTGCTGGGATGACAGGTATGAGCCGCGGCACCTACCCTCCTTTTACTTTTTTAGTATGGCTACTACCAGTGAAAAATTCCACACGTGGCTTGCATCATCTTTCTGGTGGACAGTGCTGCCTGAGAGTCCCGTTTGCACTTCCTGGTGATCCAGTGATCGACTTTATACCTAGTCACCTGGTGACGGGAAACCCTCTGTTGAAATGGCAGTGTCCCTGCCTCACTGGACTGGTACTCAGACCAGATGGAAATGACTGAACACCCACAGCTAAGCTGCCTCTCACACCAGATAGAGGAACTGAAAGTTATAGTCTTGGGGGTTATTCTGGATTAAAAGCAAAAGGATCAGCAAAGCTGGGCTGTGGAGGCTCCACGAAAGCCTCAAGTGTACGTGGTGGGCAGGACCTACAGAGGCACCTCCATGCCCAACTCCTGCCTGCGCCTGTAATCCCAGCACTTTGGGAGGCTGAGGCGGGCAGATCACATGAGGTCAGGAGTTCAAGACCAGCCTGACCAACGTAGTGAAACCCTGTGTCTACTGAAAAAATACAAAGATTAGCAGGGGATGGTGGCACGCGCCTGTAATCCTAGCTACTTGGGAGGCTGGGGCAGGAGAAGTGCTTGAATCCAGGAGGCAGAGGTTGCAGTGAGCAGAGATCATGCCACTGCTCTCTAGCCTGGGTGACAGAGCGAGACTCCATCTCAAAAAAA